TTTAGTCTGTATTACACCATTGTGTCAGTGCAGCAGTGTGCAGTAAAAGTGAATTAATCCTCTACTCTCAGAACAGGAGATGAGGCTCCGCCCCCGCGGCTGGCCCTTGCCCCGCCCTCAGGCAGTGCATCACATGGTTGAGGACTTTCTGACGGAGTGGGAGGGGCCTGTATCTCACAGCCAACCGCTGCGTCGCTTTCTGGAGCACTGCCTGACCTCTGACCTGCGCACCTTCTACGCAGGTACGTCTCCGTGTGGCTCCTGGCTCAGGGAGAGCTGCTGCTCCCAGACTCCGGGGCTCCCAGTAGCGATGCCTGACTCCTCTTTCTCTCTGCTGTTCCAGAGTCCTGTTTCCGCTTCACTCTGACCCATCGAAAGCCACCACTGTCCTGTCGCCAGGGTTACCTGAAGAAGCAGGGTCTTGTGGGTACTGAGTGGCTGCGCCGACACGCAGTTGAGGCAGGGCTAATGGAGGATTACCGCCCACAGCTGGCCAGTGGGAGGCCAGGAGTCACAGTTAAGGACATGCCCCTCTCTGGTCACCTGACTCAGCGTGAACTCTGACCTCTGCCTGGCCCTCCGGATATCCCAGAATGCACTGCTGATACCTGAACAGTCAGAGCCGTCACCTGCTGTGACCACAGAAGCTTCAACGCGTGAACTGTCAAATATCGAGCCTCAGAAGACATTTATCACTTTGAACTACAGCAGGTTCACAAGGGAATCAGGAAAACCCTGAGTTTGAGTGGGTGTGTTAACGATTTATTGACAAGACACAGAGAAGTTTCTTGTGGTCAGTGATTTCTGTGTGTGCGCGCGCGAGTGTGTTACATTATGTGTGATTGCTCGAGTGTGTACGTGTGTCTGTGGTCACTGCTGCACGCTGGCAGACTCTGCCCTGCGGTTCTGTCCCATCCCTCTCTCTGCGCCTCACAGCAGTGGGCTCTGCTCCGGGGCGGAAGGAGGCATTGTTACCGGAGCTGTCCTGCTGGCATGTTGTCACGTAGGCATGAACAGGCAGGAAGTGAGGTGGCAGGAAGTGAGGCCACGGGCCAGCAGTGTAAACAGTTCTGTAGCACCTGCACCGCCTCCTGGCTGAGCTGTCAGACACCCTGTGCTGTTCCTGGTTTGATTGATCCAGCCTTTGCAGTTTTTGTTCAGTAATGCTGTCCCCACAGTATTCACAGGACTTTATTTTTCCTTGGCTTTTTTTTAATACAAAGATTATGGAAAAAAGCTTTAGTTTTTCAAGGCAGTGGGGTCTCAGTGAAGAACAGATGTAACAAATGTCTTCAGAGGGACAGTCCAAACAGCTCTGGAAATTCAAATTGTGACATGTGTGTGGGTGTCAGAGACACTGTGATTGTGATGTGTGCGTGTCCCCATAGGGAACAGAGACACTGTGATTGTGTTGTGTGTGTGCAGTGAATAGAGACAATGTGTGTGTTGTGTTGGCAGTGTAGCGACAGTAAACAGAGAAACTGATAGCATTGGTGAACTGGATTTAATTTTCCTCTGTCTTTATTTTTATACAGTGCATCTTTTATACCCTCTTTTTCAAATAAAGCACTAAGACTTCACTCTCTTATTTTGTGTGGGCTGGGGTTAAACATGATATGACGCTGTGAGCCAGCTGCTATCTGTACCAGAACCAGATGAGCTGGTAATGGGGATCCCCTCCACCACCACCAATGTGCAGCCCCACCAGGAAGATGTGACGGCAGCCATAGTGCGCCAGATCACTCACCACACACCAGCTCTCAGTGGGGAGGAGAGCAGAGTGATGAAGCCAGTTCATAGAGGGGGATTATTAGGAGGCCATGATGGTAAGGGCCAATGGGAAATTTGGCCAGGACACCGGGGTTACACCCCTACTCTTTTTGAGAAACGCCCTGGGATTTTTAATGACCACAGAGAGTCAGGACCTCGGTTTTACGTCTCATCCGAAGGACGGCGCCTGTTTACAGTATAGTGTCCCCGTCACTATATTGGGGCATTAGGACCCACATGGACCGCAGGGTGAGCACCCCCTGCTGGCCCCACTGACACCTCTTCCAGCAGCAACCTTAGTTTTTCCCAGGAGTCTCCCATCCAGGTACTGGCCAGGCTCACACCTGCTGAGCTTCAGTGGGCTGCCAGTGGTGAGTTGCATGATTCCTTGCATTAATAGAGCCTTGCTTTAGAGGATCCTAACTGCTTTAGTGATTGAAGGCAGCAACTTCAAAAAGAATACTGAAGATTTGATTTGGTTATGAAAAACAAAAAAACTACAGTGGAGGCTACGAAACTGTGGAATTTTAACCCCAAAACCATTTCTCAATATCTGGGACAGTCTGGTACTCCCTGTGTCTTCTAACATAATCGCAGATCCGACAGACATGTTCTAACCAGAAGGAACACAGCTTCACAGTGAAGTGCTCATGCCAGGAGAAGTACTGCAGGTACTTCTCCTCACTCTTGTCTAGCACCTGTAGATATTCAGCCAGCTCTTTTGCTGAAGGGAAATCGTCCACATGAATAAAGGCACCTGCAGGGATGTAGCTCTCGTAGTTTCCTCTAGAGGGTCCCAGGACAATCGGGACTGAGCCCACTGACAGTGGATTGTACAGCTTTTCTGTGATGTAGTCTTGGTAGGCTGAGTTTTCAAAGGAGAGGTAAAACTTACAGCTGGCTATTGTGGGCAGAAGGTTCTCACCACTGATGTATTTCCCAAATGCTTCACCGTAAGTGTGGATTTCAATGTGTTTGCGTAGCTCATCGTAGTACCGTGACCTGGCGTGTCCAGGACTCCAGTTGCTAACGATCCAGCAGACCAGCTTGTCCTTCTTTGGTGGATTAAATTCCGTATGTGTCTTGCTGGGAACGAGGGACCCAGAAGGCACCACAATATGAGAGTCCTGTCTGTAATGAAGAGTTGTGCGAAACCAGGGTTTTTTTTAGTATTATCTGGTGACTCATCCAGTTCATCCAGACCCACTTCTGGAAGGGGGGCCTGTGTGCAGGAGGCAGGTTGGACAGATCCGCTCTGATGTCTCTGTGGTGGAGAAGAACTGCATCCGCAATGTTGTAGAGGTTCCTGTCCGCTGTTAATCGACATCCCTCGATGTGGAAAGTGGAGCTACAGGACTCTGAGGGAACAGGGTCTCCGAATGGTGAAAGCCGGACCAGGATGACAGTGTCCACATCTCCATGCGGCTCCTGGCTCTCTGCCTTCCTGTCTCGGTCTGTCGGTGTTGGAGGCGATGCAGTGTGATGAGGGTACCCGTTATCACAGTTACACCAGCTTCGTGAAAAATAACTATAGAAAATTACAATGATGAAACTTGATACTATGATGATGAACATAACTTTGTGGGCAGGACTTGATGACATGATCTGCTGAAGAAAGAACAGGTCACACTTAAATGGTGTCTAAGTCTTTCATGTGTCCCTCACATCTGGGTGTTATTTAATAGATCTGTTGTATTTGGATTGTGGTGGGTGGGACTCTTGTGTCTCCCAGGGGAAAACAGGGATATGGGGGATTTGGGGGTACTGAGAAAAAGCTCTGTAGGCTAATGTAAAAGTATGTTAAAGAAAAACTCTTACCGTCGGCTTTTTAAAACCGTTTCGTAGCAGCTCTTCAGAAATCTTGCCCGTGGTCGTGCTCCAGCAATGACGCGGGTGACGCAGCCGAGCGGAGTCGGAGCAGGAGGCTGTGTGGAAGGAGCAGACCCTGAGACTCCAGGACAGAGGGGCTGGCCCTGAAAGACCTGCTACACAAGACTCACAAGTTCACCCTTTTAGAAAAGTGAAGAAAAGAAAGAAAACCGCTACCGCTATCGGACACCAGCTGGAGTGTTTTGTAATGTTCTGCTAACGCCACTGTAAGGAGTGTGCCTTATTTAATCACTGCCCGACATAGCTGTACCTTACTCCTCTAACGCACGAAACACACGATCTATATCAAGTGCGACAAATGAAGCTCCAGAAAGTGCATGGGACTTACACTTATAGTACTGCAGACACTGATGTAGCCTACACGCAAACTCCAAATAGCGATGTGTTCGCTTTTTCGTCTGAGGGTCTCCGCGTGAATCCGTTTCATTTAGCAATTTGAATAAATGAAGCCATAACGCAATATACCTGTTCAAGACCTGTCAGGACTAAATGCAGTTGAGTAATGGATTTGTAGTTACGTGCGCCTATCTGGTATATTTTAGCGTAAATACCGTTCTTAAATTAAAAAGTATATCACATCGCCAGGGACATTCAGTTAGATACTAACACGAGTAGTGGCGGATTAAGGCGATCAGAGGCCTCTAGGCTAGACGTTGTGTAGCCCCCCTGCATTAGCAGAAAAAAAGGGAGAGAAAATACTGTAATAATTCAGAGACGCGTTCAGGGCAAGAGCTGCTACCGCCGGTTCAAGCGGAATGTCAGGCGACACTCGCAGGGAACAGACACACACTCACACACACACTCCAACAGCCTCTAATGCAAGTACAGCAATGCAACCAACCAATCAGATTCACGGCCAACCTGCGAGCTGGCAACAGAAACCGACGACACAGCAGCAGCAGGATCAGCACCGCGGAGACCAGAGAGCTCCCTGTCCGAGCGCCTCATTTCAAGAGCTGCGGGACACCCCCCACGCGTGCAAGTCCCTGCAGTCAACAGACTCAAATCACTCAATACACTGCATCGACGAGCAGATGTTTTTCTATATGAGCTTTCAAGAAGGGATCAAAACCCGCTGATAACTTCGGGGACACCCGTGAAGCTCCCGTTGTCGGGGCGCCCCTACAAGGCAGCCCTCGCTCTGCTAAAAACTTCACCACCACCATTTTTAAGACATCGGTCCAATACTCATATTCACTGTCAAACTGTCTTGTTAGTTCTGAATCGAAAAGACAACGATCAGCGCAGCGCATAACGTTACACGACCACAGCCTTTCCACGGCTCTCCGACACCTCGTGTCCAGCCAGGCGTGCGGCGGTGTTGACCAGGTCACTAGAGCCTGCGGCCAGTCCGGACTGGTCATCACCGCCCCCGAATAACTCACATGCGAAACAAAACACTGCACCCTTCGAGGGGGAAGACAGCAGCCACCCTCTTGACACACACTCGCCATTTCCGAGTTGTCTTTTGAAGAGGGTTTTAGAGAAATACCTCTTTTGGTGTCTATGTGGTCTTTCCGATGCTGCAACATCCGCGTCTTGGTTTCCTCACGATTTCGGGCCCAGTTTAGCTCAGTATGGCCGCCTCCGTTCCCCTATTTCACCCCAGCAGGCTGGGGCCGAGCTGTAGGAAGCGGGAGCTGCTGTTGCGCCCTCTGTTGGCTCCGCGGCAGCAGGTGCACCAGCACGGCGGCGGCTCGGACACGGCGGCGGACGGCGGTGGCGTTTCGGACGGCTCTGCCTCTGACCCCGTCGCGGGAGCTGCTCGTCCTCGTGAGCGGCGTGGCTGCAGACCGCGCCCGGGCCAGAGCTACTGGAGCTGCAGCTGACGTTGCCACCTCGGTTGCTGTAGCACTGGCTGCACCGTTAGCCGTGAGCTCAGGACCGCGGTCCGGCTCACAAACGTGAAATAACCAGTCAGTCTGGGGATCTTCTTCAGTAGATCCTGCTCACGCTGCTTTTAACCGCCCTGCTGTTCGTCTTTGGGCCCCACTGTCACACTTTCTATTGCACATTTTGAGGCTGGCTACAGTAAACTTGCATTTCAAGGTCTTGCGCAGGCCAGTGTATTTTCAAAGAGACTTCTGCGGTTTCTTTATTTAAACTGCAGTATATAATATCACTCTCACCTGCAGGAGGAAGACTTCGCTGTCGGGCTAAAGAAAAGCCTTATAAATTATATATATATATGTTAGGTACAAAGCAGCTTTAAGAAATTCTTATTGCTATTTGCGGAATTTCAGCAACATGTCAGAACAGTAAGCCGGTTTGGAAAGAGACTTGAAGAAACAGTACAACCGCAAGGCCAATATAGTCTGTTCCTTGGGCGCCTGTCAGCGGGAATCGTATCCAAACCGCTGCTGTATAGACCAGAAAAGACCTTTCTTCAGCTCATTATTCACCCCAGAGGCAGATTGTGTGTACGCATTTGAATGTGGTTTACATATTTTGTCCTGGTTTCTTAAAACCTCACACCGGTGGGAACAAGGAGGCGGAGAGCAGCTCCCCTTTTGAGATGCAGAGTTCACAGGATGGAGCTCAGACCGCAGAAGACCACACTCGTGTGCAATAAAGGCAACGGGGCCTGATGGCGTCTCTGCGGAAGCGTAATGACGAGACAGCAAATTACCTCATAACCACAAGGTAGCAGATTATTTCGTAATGACGTGTCGGTGCCTGTTGCAACCCCGGGGCCACTCGCACATATCCTCAGACAAGAACGGGTTTGCCCTGGAGCCGATTCCACTGCCTAAAACTGCAAGTCAGCTCACCTACAGCACGGTCGGCGTGTGGAGTTTCTGACAAATCTTCGGAAGGGATGACAACGACCGAGCTCAATCGGACTCAGCTGTCCGCAATCGGCAATCGCTCCTGACAATCCGTTCCTCTCCCAAACGCTACAAATACCTACGAGATTCCCTCCCTCCCCCACGTCTCTTCCCACCTCCAGCCCTGCAGGGGTGCCCTGGTCTCTGTCCCCGGCCCTCAGCCGAGCCGGTTAAGCCACACTGTCGCCCCATGACCTTTATTCTTGGGTGTCTGTCATTCTTGGTGAGGTGTAACACGTCAGGGCGTGTCTGTAAAGAGCTGGGGTATGTTGTGGTGTGTTCAGATGGGCAGACAAGATGAGCGCCCGGACACTCCTCCCCGGGAGGCGAACACCTTTCTCCTAGTTTGAACCGCTGTTGCCCTGGAAACCGAGAGGCGGTTGGGAAAATGGCGGCGCCTGAACTCGCCGGACCGGTCAGCCTCCTCCGCGCCCGCGGGACTGGCCGGGGGTGAATCTTATTTTACAGAGGCAACCGATTTTGTAGACTGTAAATAGCTACACATGACCTTCAGAACTGCACAAGACGACGTTTTAAACACATTCATTGCATTGCGGTGCTTTTACCTCAATTTATTGTAAACAGAATATTTTGACTGATTTGTAATGTGGGATGTTTTTGACTGATTCGTCTTTGTTTAAATACACGGGGCACAGCTGGGTAATTAATTATAGCCAAAATACTTGAGTTTTTACTTGAGGTCCAAGTGGGTGAAACTGTAGACGTGCTGTTGATGAGACGGCTGTGATGTGTCGGGGTGGGCTTGGGGTGACACTCCTGCGTTGGGCAACTGATGAGTTAAGGCGAGAGCAGGCGTGGGCGGTGCTGTGGGCCACATGGTTTTCTTCCACTTGCATATTTTCGGGACCAGTTTCCACACATAGAGCTGCAGCTCGCTTGTGCACACAGCATGGTAGGACATGCAGCTGGAAGCTTCACAGTCCACAGCATTGAGCTCCAGAGAAAGAGTTTATGATGGAGCCTCTGTAGATCCTGTTCCTGTGAATTTTCCGAGCTGAGCTTTACCCAAACTGACTTACATTCATACACCTGGACACTTCAAAAGAGCACTCTTGAGTGTGGCCCCTAGTGTATCCTATTGTTGTATTGTGTTAAATAGTGTTCAGGCAGGTGTGCGTGACTCTGGGGGGTGAATCTCTCTCAGATCCTGGAATGTGCAGGTGACTTGCAGGTGGGGGTTGATGAGCAGAGTGCTCTGTGTCACTCTTTGACTCGGTCTGCTTGCAAACACAACTATCTGTTCGAATTCTGCGCTTTTTGTCTGGATCTATAGAAGAGGCACAGCTCACATGCTGCAGTCACCTGACAGCGTCTGCTTTTGTAACCTCTGTGGGCATATGTTACAGGTTGTCAGACATCTTCAGACTCTCGCAGCCAGAGGGGGATCTTACTCTGTCCTGTCCCTAGTTTCCTGCTTTGCTGTTCTTTCAGTTTCCCTCTTTCCTTGGGCTATATATTTCCGGGTCACTTATTCTGCCTCGCTCGGCATTGACGTTCGGCTGCCCTGAGACCCGCCTAGCACCAGGTCGCCCCATGTCCGCTACCTGAGGGCAGTGGTTTCTATACAGCACTCCAGAACTCTTTCACTGTCGAGCCCGGGCTAACTCCCCATCTGCCACCTCGCATAGGGTCTTTTTCGCTTTCCTGCCTCTCCACGGTTTGTCCCTTCCGACATCCGTGACACTATGGAAGTCATAAATGAAAATGTTAACATACCAATGAAATGATATTGTATCATCATACTCACCATGACCCCAGCACTGTGTAGGAGTGCTTGCTCTCCTGTGAAACACTTTCCCAAGAAGGTCAGTCTACTTTAATCTGACACCAGGAACTTTGTGCTCAAATGGCTGATCTTGAACACGTGTCCCTGGTCCTGCCCCTCTGTCTGCAGCCAGGCTGTAGAAGATAGGACAGACAGGACAGATGGGGGTCCCCGCAGGAGGGGACCTCAGGGTCACAGTTCCTGCAGAGCCTGACTTGTCTCCCAGAAAGTAACATGATCCGGTCACACACCACGATGACAATACCCCTGTAAATAAGTCAGTAGGGTTCAGCCTGCTGGTGTTGAATACTGCGATAAGACTTCTTAGCATGTTGTACCAGCTTTCAGGTGCCAAGACAGGTTTCCAGGTGCCAGAGGTAAGGATGTTGCCCTTCAGTGAGGCGGTTGATGCAGTGTCAGAAACAGACTTGTGGGGTTCTGCTGCATTATGGCAGTGATGATGGCAGCCTGGGAGAGCCTGAAATTCTCCGAGACGCCTTTAAAGTGCATGTTAACAAATTGTACAGTATATCTGTCTCTTCCTGTTCAACGCAGAGGTGGGGACTGCTTCAATTTTCTGTGAAAAATAGCTAAATTATTGGGCCCCCCCGGAAAATGTGGGTTTATTGCCCGGTCTTATTGCATGTTTTGTAGGAGAGACCTGGAATTTTCAAAACTGCTGTTGGAAACTAAAGATGTAAGGTAGCTTAGAGTTCACAATTTGCTGATACAAAGGTTATTTGACAGTTCGCCCACAATTCCTGGAGCTCTGTACTGTTGTGTGAACAGAGCTGCAGGAATTTCAAAAAATGTGAAAGCAGGAGAGCAGACCTGGTCAACCAGGAATGGTTTGTTCTTTATAACAACTTCAGACAACAGGTGTGCAGGGGGAAACGGGTCATATTTCAGGCTGGTAGGATCAGGTGTGACTGATACACCCATTGTCATTATCAGCAGTATTTGTTATCCAGATCACAGCAGCTCACCCTCCCAGGACACACCTGTGGAAAGGCACCGGCAGCAGGAGGGACTGATCCGTGTTTCCTGCTTCGCTAAACATGAGAGACTTCTCTGAGGGGCTGTGAAGCGCTTGGCTTTACATGTGGGAAGTCATGTAAGAGAAGACAAGTTTCTGACTTGGCCTAAAATTTGTACTGAGTATTCTGTGAAATTTGAAATTTTGAATTTCCTTTTGATGTTTGCTAATCTTCATATTTTCTTGTCGCCTGCAAATTTGACTAGTTTACTCACCATATCAGAATGTAGAGCATTGAAATCAACTGGATAGAGCAGTCCCTGTGGCACTCCACTAATTACACACTATGTGTACTCAGTGCAGTATATTTTTTATAATGAACTTTATTAAAAGCTTTCTGACAATCAAAATACATCCAGTCCTCCTTTTTCTCAGGGGATTCCCGATCTGCCTCTACATAACTCTTAATGTAGAGAAAGTGCAGGATATTGCATGAAAGTAGGAATGTAAAATATTTACATGGTGGCAAAGGTTGGCTGCACTCAAGACATAATTGAATTTGCTGGCAGCGGCCAGCTTGCTGCAGGCAGATGAGTGGGGTCATGGGTCAGCCGTACAGTACATGAGTTTGCCACTTGGTGTGAACCAAACTCTTAGAAGCTGAATGTCTCTGAGGCCATAGACATGGCAATTGATTTCAGGAAGAACCCTCCATCCCCACTTTAACCTGCATCAGCATAAATATAAGTAATAAGGGACCCTTCTAGACCGCAAGTTAAATTTTGAGACAAATGTCAATTCTATTTTCAAAAAAGAGCAAGAGTATTTATTTTTCTTAAGGAAGTTTAAATTGCTTAAGGTTGATAGTTTGTTGTTGAACATGTATCAGTCAGGTGGGCTCTGGGAAGGTGGTTCATAGACAGGAGTCACGAGAATGAGCCTGATGTACACAGATTTGCTGACATCATATTAAGATGGGTTGGTGGACTCCTCCTTCAAACCACAACGTTAAGCTCAGTGGGAAATGTACACAATAGTGAAAGAAGGATGAAGCTTTTGTCTCCTGCCTTAACCACAGGATCCCCAGATGTTCCTGTTCAATATTCACCTTTTGTGTCATTCCTTTAAAGCTTGAGATCTATTCATCTGTGTGAGTGATTGTACACCGTGCTAATCAGGCTCTATAACAAAACAGAGAAACTGAAACTCTCGCGAGACAGAAGAGCTGTGATCTCAATGTAGAATTTTAACCCCAAAACCATTTCTCAAAATTGGGAACAGTCTGGTACTCCCTGTGTCTTCTAACATAACCACAGGTCCGACAGGCATGTTCTAACCAGAAGGAACACAGCTTCACAGTGAAGTGCTCATGCCAGGAGAAGTACTGCAGGTACTTCTCCTCACTCTTGTCTAGCACCTGTAGATATTCAGCCAGCTCTTTTGCTGAAGGGAAATCCTCCACATGAATAAAGGCACCTGCAGGGATGTAGCTCTCGTAGTTTCCTCTAGAGGGTCCCAGGACAATCGGGACTGAGCCCACTGACAGTGGATTGTACAGCTTTTCTGTGATGTAGTCTTGGTAGACTGAGTTTTCAAAGGAGAGGTAAAACTTACAGCTGGCTATTGTGGGCAGAAGGTTCTCACCACTGATGTATTTCCCAAATGCCCGACCGTAGGTGTGGATTTCAATGTGTTTGCGTAGTTCATTGTAGTACCGTGACCTGGCATGTCCAGGACTCCAGTTGCTAACGATCCAGCAGACCAGCTTGTCCTTCTTTGGCAGTTCAAATTTCAGAGGTTCTCTTCTGGAAACAAGGGAGCCATAAGGCACCATGATGTCAGAGTCCCGTCGGTAATTTAAGGTCACATTAAGCAATTTTGCGAGACCAGGTTTTTTTGGTGAGTGAGCTGGTGACTCCAAGTTCATCCAGACCCACTTCTGGAAGGGGGGCCTGTGTGCAGGAGGCAGGTTGGACAGATCCGCTCTGATGTCTCTGTGGTGGAGAAGAACTGCATCCGCAATGTTGTAGAGGTTCCTGTCCGCTGTTAATCGACATCCCTCGATGCGGAAAGTGGAGCTACAGGACTCTAAAGAAAAGTGGTCTCCAAATGGCCAGAGCCAGATGAGGACAACAGTGTCATTTTGGTCTCTGTCAGAAGAGACGAGGGTCTTCTCTAAGGGTGGTGAGGCAGTGTGATGAGGTAACCACTTATGAGACGGTTTTATATACAGGATTATAAAAATTACAACACAGACCAGGAAGAGGGTGCTGATCAAAATGGTGCGTACACCTCCGAGAGCAGAGAGGGATGACATGGTCTGTCCTGTTGAAGAAAGAAGAAGGAGACTCAATGAGGACAATGCGTGTGTCTTTGGAGATTCTTTGCTATGTGACCCACAGTGTTTTGGAAAAGAATTCAGAGACGACTTTAGAGCATGCAGTCATGGATTGTTCTAGTAATTGATATTAACTACATAATACTCTCTACACATTCAGAGCAAAAGAAGTAGGAAGTAAATAGATCATATGAAAGAAAAATAGGAAGTCATGATTGCAAGTATTCAAGCCCTTACTGTGCCAAACCTAAATTAATTTAGATGTGCAGTATTAACTTCACACTTCACACAACAGCTTGAATGGCCCGTGTGTGCTATAATAGTGATTCACATAATTTCATTAAAAAAATAATGTTTTATGAAATAAACACCTGTCCCTCTAAGTTCCCACAGTCTGGTTTAAATGTCAAACACGATTCAACCGTGAACACCAAGCAGCTTTCAAATCAGCTCTGGCTAGCAGTTGTATGAAGGCACAGATCAGGAAAAGGATATAAAAAATTGCAAAGATCTTTACTCAGTCACGCGTGTTGGAGTAGTATTATATTAAAATACTGCTTCTCATTAGAAGGTACTGGAAAGTCTGTCAAGACAGATAGGAACACAGATGGAGCAAACTACTGGCAAATCATACAGCAAAACCTGCTTAAGACCTAAAACTGAGTCAAAAATTCACCTTGTGACAGGACAATGTCAAAAGTGCAAGGCCTACGGTATGCCCTGAGTTGCTTAAGAATAAGAAAGTAAATGTACTTGAACATCCCTGTCAAAATCCTGACTTGAATCCTATCCAGAGTCTGTGGAAACACTTCTGTCCACAAGTGAACCCCAAGCAGCAATCTGCTCAAACAGAACTGACTAAAGTGCACCAAACTGGAGTGAGGGTTGGTTGAAACTCACCCACAAAGACTTAAGGAAGCTGTTCCTTCCACCAGATATTAAGTTATTGCAACCAAATTCTTTTACAATCAACATATTTTTTTCTTCTTTAGTTTTATCGCCATTCGCCGTTTCTTTACTCTACCTTACTCTCAGAAGGTTTCGGTTTAAGCATTCAGGATCTGGGTAAATTAAAAGGGGCATCATAGAAAGACTCTGATAAGTTTTGATGGCACTGCATATATATGGATATATTGACTCTTCTGTTACATTGTGTTTGATACTTATGAATATTTTGAACTCTGAACTAAGAACAAGTCCTTTTGACTGCATTGTTGAGGCTTGACGTGTGTGAAGCCCCTGGGATGCCAAAGACAGAGCATAAGCCAGCGAGAAGGTGGCAGCAGTAGCAGGACCAGCTGGCCTGAGATTGGAAGTGCAGCCCGTAAGAGTAGGACCTGTGAGTTTGAAGAGAGAGACGGCTCGTTGCGGTTTGCACTGCGAGGGCAAAGGGATAATGGGACAACTGGGGTCCTGGTCCGTGATGAAGGAGATCTGGCCACAGTGTTGCCTCAGGATGGCGGTTGTAACGTCTCCTTTGTCCTTCCTGAGCGCATGTTACAAAACGGAAACTTTCATTGGTCAACCTCCATCGCCTAAGCCCCGTGCAGGCAGCCGTTAGCCCACTTCCTGTTGTCCAAGCAGATTTCGTCAGATTATACCGTCCTGTACTGTGCTTCCCCCTGGACGTTCCCTTACTGTGACGTGGTGTGGCAATTCTTCGACACCACCACTGCACTGAACTTATCCTTCTCACAGGATGTCACTCGCTGTCCTGCGGGCCTGCTGTCAGCAGCACACACACCTCGCACAAGGCTGGACCCTCCTCCCGGATCTGAGCCTGCGGTCGCCCCCTGTGGGTCCCACTACTTCCTTTATCATCAGAATAACAGGTCCTGCAGAACAGCTTCCTGTTTCTGGAATTCCACTGAAAACAGAACTGCAGAACCGCTGACAGGACAAACACACCACAGCCAGCAGAACCACAGGTCCACTCATCGGAGAACCACACAAAAACACACAGCTGACTGCAGCACAGTCCTGGAATCCTACGCACATCAGTGGAGCCAGTTTAAAGGACTTGAAAGACAGCAAACCAGTACAGCAGGCATTTCTGGTCTGCTGTATCCACTTAGCTTTATCCTGGATGAAGCGCACTTCTTGAAGAGTGAAACCATCTATATTCAGTTTGACGAATTTGAGGCTGCCTTTTGTTTAATATATCAGTCCTCGAGACACTTTGTTAAAAGAACACAGCCCTCAAAACAATTAATACATTAGTGTTCCAGGTCTACAGGGACTATAGACGTTTGCAGACGTTTCCTGCAACCTATTGTTTTGTCCACACTATTGTATTGTGCAACACCACACCTTAGCCTTTCAGAACAGAAAAGAGTAACTTAGGAATTTTCACGTTTGAAATTCACATACAATATCTGTCAATCAGGCGTTGATCTTGAACCCCTGCTTTCAGTTGCTGTGCTCAGATCTCCACACTACATGAAATGTGTGAGAATAAACAGATTAATAAACATCCGACAGCAGACTTTCCTAACGGCGGTGGCATCAGGCACGTTTTCTAGTCAATTGCCCTCGCTGAGACAGCCCTCATTCAAAATGCATGACAGTCCGTGACCCTGTGAGATCGCATGAATACACCTGTGACAACATTAATACACACGTGACAGCAGACTGGCTACACTAGCGTATCTACCTGTGATGTGAGAGGTGTTGACGAAAGAGGTCAGTATGGTCTTTACCTGTGGTGGCAGCGGTGCTGTCCAAGGACTCGAGCCGGAGAAAGATTCAGCCGATGTGAGAAACACCTGACTGGCGTAACTCTATACACTGTACACGCCTAAACAAGTTGAGCCTGCTGGGCAGCCACTCACTGGGGTGGTATTCCCGGATTGCCTTAATCGCAGCTTCACTTGTGCAAACCCTACAAGGAGAGCACCACAGCAGATCGTCGCTGTTAATCAGTGCAAGAAGCCAGTGACTTTGTATTACCATATAAACACTGTGACCCCAGCACTGTGTGTGCGACTGCTTTCCCAGTGGCTGATGAAGCTCTTGCTTTCTGTACTAGTGATCACTTCCTAGCTGTGAGCGCGAGGACGTGAGAAGTACTGCCACAATGAGGATATAATAGCTCAGAATAATAAGCTCAATGCCTCACCTCGAAGAACAGGATGAACCAAGAGTTGTCTGACACGGGAGAAATGTCTCAACGAGCGTTTCAGCAGCTCTCGAGTGGTTGGGGAGAGACTTGGGCTGCATTCAAGGCTGCTTCTGCCCCTCTTGCATCTCCAGAGCGCAGAAGGGCTGCACCACTCTCCCGTCCGGCTGCTCGGTCTGAGGCCACAACCCGCTGGGCAGTTTCCAGCAGGAGGGAGTCTGAGCGGCGAGCCCTTGAAAAAGCTGGGGGTTTTGCCAACTCAGACAATCTGTGGTAGAGATATTTAATTTTCAAAAACCGCGGTCTGCATGTTGACCGGTGAGGTAGCTGAGAGTCTGCAGCGTGCTGCTACAAAGGTAATCGCTGGAGCTCAGGACACCCGCAGAGCTGCAGGACTTTTCAATCAGGAAATCCAAGAGAGCAGACCTGGTCAAACAGGAACGGTTTCTTCTGTAGAAAACTTTTCAGACAACAGGTGTGCAGGGGGAAACGGGTCATATTTCAGGCTGGTAGGATCAGGTGTGACTGAAACACCCATTGTCATTATCAGCAGTATTTGTTATCCAGATAACAGCAGCTCACCCTCCCAGGACACACCTGTGGAAAGGCACCGGCAGCAGGAGGGACTGATCCGTGTTTCCTGCTTCGCTAAACATGAGAGACTTCTCTGAGGGGCTGTGAAGCGCTTGGCTTTACATGTGGGAAGTCATGTATCACTCCCCTCACACCAGCAAGAGGATCACTGACACTGAGAGAGCCATAGTTCAAGAAATGTAGAAAACATACCTGTCACGACGCCGCCCTGCCCAGACAGCCCCCAGGAGAGCTAGCCAGTGCCAGCAGGGGGGCGATAGTTACGAGCGCTGCCGCACGTGTGAACTCGGCACCAGGCGCCCTGCCCTGCGGCCGGCTGCAGTATTTAAGCCGTTCACACCCGCGTCTGGCTGCTCGCTATCGTGTTGTTCTGGATTCTGGATTCCCCTTTAGTCTTTCGCCTTTGGACCTCGCCTCTCGTCTCGGATCGTTTGTCGCCGGTGTACTTTCTGGAGCTTGACCTACAGTAGTTTACTCCTCTCAACCCTGACCACACCTCTTGCTTCGGATTGTTTGCTTCAGTCGTACTTCCTCCTGACTTCTGAATCACCTTTGTCCTTTGGACCACGGCCTCGCCTTTCGCACTGGATGATCCGCCTGCCTTGTCATCTACATGCTCCCGCGTCTGTACAGGATCCACCTACCTCTTCATTAGGGATTCCTGACAAGACCTGCAGTGGTCTGGGGCTTGTGTGGAGATGGCACTGGATCTGATCCGAATCAGGGAACGCAGAGCAGAAAGGACGCACATCGCCAGCAATCATGCAAAGCAACATGCAAACTGGAGGCTGGATTCATCTGCAAAACAGCTGACAGAGTGCAAAAAGGAACAAGCAGAATAACTATTATTGACACCAGTGATTCTACTGATACGCAACAGTGTGGGTTCTGTCATGTAGTAAAAATAACTATAGCAAGATATTTTATAATTATCATAATTTTACATTTTCAGTTGCCTTCAGTTGAGGAACAGGGCTTGGACTCCGGGATTCTCTCATTTTTATTGAAATAATTCCATTATGATTCTACATGGTCTTGCCTTCCTCACTTGAGCTTCCAGGAATTGGAAGTGTTGGGCAGGAGAGTGACTGAAGGGAACATCAGTAACACACTGCAGTGGGGGATCAGGTGATGGGCAGGAGAGTGACTGAAGGAGGAAGATGATGGAGGAGGAAGGTATTCTGGGCCTGTGTGGAATGCAGAAGGTGCAACTCCTCTGTCTGCCCAGTGCAGGGTTTGCAGATTCAGGCTAGGACTAATGTTAAATGACAACAACACATATTTAACACTCCCTCTACTCTGTGGGTAGCCAGGGCTGACTGGATGTGATCAGTGAACCTCTGCTCTCTAGGCAGGGCTGCACACATTGTTTGGTGTCTGTCCCTGCCCATTGAGAATGCTTCTACACAGCTCTACACAGAGTTCTCTCTAGCACAGGGATCCAGTGTGTGTGGATGTTGACCATTATGTTGCATTATTTTCACATTTTCTCTCTCAACTTGGGGGTTTCAAATTAAAAGCGTGTCTTGTATCTGAATTTAGATCCGCGTGTGAAAACAACTTGGCACTGCTCCAAGTGTTGAGTTCACCGTGCGTCGTGGGAAACGTTGACATGCTGTTGCAGTTGATCAATATCAGGTTTGAGTGGGGGGCCTTGCAGCCTGAATCTGCTGCAAGGGAGCAGGTGTCAGTGAACCACAGCTTGTTTATCAAATGCACAACAATACAGCTTGCAGCAGTAATTGCTGGCAATGAAATGTCTTTTCTGCGAGCTCACCGGGGAAAAGTTACAGAATAAAGTTACATCATAACAGTGCAATAAAAATTGAATAAAAAAATGAAATCAGAAATTCATTATGTGTGCCAAACACAGTGGAAAACTGTCTGTGTAACCTGACATTTAACACAGACCATTAGGTGGGTGCTGAAGTGACTGCAGCTTGGCTGTGGAGAAGTCTTTTTCCTGATAGTAGAGGTTAATTCCACGCTTCAGACTCAACGCCGAAACTTCATGTTTCTTCTTTCTGCTTTTCAACATGAGATTTGCCTTTGCTTTCAAATGAACATCTTACCAGCACTCGTGGTGCAGTTGGTCTAGAAGAGAGATGCTCATTTAATAAGAATTGCAGGGTGCACACCATAAATGTGCATTTTGAAGCAACAGAGCACGATACCAGACAGAAGGGATACTCTGTGTTGGAAATGAAGACTGTGCTACTGTCTGGCATGAGGAAGTGGTTTGTAGCTTTGACATTTGAGTGATGATGCTGCATCTACATCTTCTTCCCTTAATGATCCTCTTAGGAGAAGAATTACTTCATGCTTTTATAGATTTACACTTTTACAGATTTATAGATTACAAGGTTTAAGGTTGGTCTGATACACTTTTAACAGTGGGAGTCTCTGATTCAAATCCCACAGATCCCGATTCTTCTGCAGATAAAAGACAAGCAGGGAAGCAGATAAAACAGGATTCAATATATTTAAGGGAAATTAAAGCAGACCCAGACTTTAAACCAACATTAAAATGACACTAAGGTTTGGACAGACAGAGGGCTGATTAGGTATCATTAGGTGATCGTTTAAAAATTCATCTAGAATATGAACCTCCCCCAGATTCTCGGTTTTTTAACGATCTGCAAATTACAAAGTTATTTTTACGAAGATTCAAGGAATCAAGAAAACCTTTGGTAAAATTCATTGTTTGATTTCGTTTATAGCAGAAATGTGCAATGCATTGAATGTTAAGAATGTGTTAGGTGAACAAGGTCATGTGCTGGAAGATGGGTTAACAGCAGGAGAACTTAAAGTTCTGTCCAAATGGGAACTTGACTACAAGCAGAATAACTTTCTAATGTTTGGAATAATACATCTCAGAATACATTTAAGACACTGAATTCTTGGTTTTGTAGGGAATATGCTTGAGAGATTCAGATGAGATTCGATAGAAGTCAGAAATCTGATCTGAGACTCAGACTAAAGTCAGAAACTCCCCAAAACAAACAGCCGCTGAAAATGGCTGCAGTAGAGGCTGAGCAAAGCATCTCAACAGAACGGGCCAAGGGTTCGGTGATGTCAATGGGCCGAGGAGCCGAAGTTTAATGTTCTTTAAGTTCATTTGTTCCAATACTAATGCTCACCTGATATGGGAGATTGAACACAAAAGGCGCTATTATTCCAAGGTTGTACAACATATACGCACAGAAATACCCAGAAATGAAAGGTGACATTATTTTTCTTCATAAGAATCTTTTTATTGCAAATCCGAATTTCTTACAGCAACCTTGACTTAGCTTTCCTGTTACTCGTGGGAGGTACTGTGTGAACAGCAAACGCATACTGAGGTGGGTTACAGAACTGTGAAGTCACTCAACAATTATTCATTTCTGTCTATAGCCCTCAAGACCTTGACAAGAGCAGCAGCCCTCATAACAGAGCAACTGAAACTCTCAAAAGACAGAAGAGCTGTGATCTCAATGTGGAATTTTAACCCCAAAACCATTTCTCAATATCTGGGACAGTCTGGTACTCCCTGTGTCTTTTAACATAATCGCAGGTCCGACAGACATGTTCTAACCAGAAGTAAGGCTTCTTCACAGTGAAGTGCTCATGCCAGGAGAAGTACTGCAGGTACTTCTCCTCACTCTTGTCTAGCACCTGTAGATATTCAGCCAGCTCTTTTGCTGAAGGGAAATCGTCCACATGAATAAAGGCACCTGCAGGGATGTAGCTCTCGTAGTTTCCTCTAGAGGGTCCCAGGACAATCGGGACTGAGCCCACTGACAGTGGATTGTACAGCTTTTCTGTGATGTAGTCTTGGTAGGCTGAGTTTTCAAAGGAGAGGTAAAACTTACAGCTGGCTATTGTGGGCAGAAGGTTCTCACCACTGATGTATTTCCCAAATGCTTCACCGTAGGTGTGGATTTCAATGTGTTTGCGTAGCTCATCGTAGTACTGTGACCTGGCGTGTCCAGGACTCCAGTTGCTAACGATCCAGCAGACCAGCTTGTCCTTCTTTGGCAGTTCAAATTTCGGAAGTTCCCTTCTGGAAATGAGGGACACATAAGGAACGTCGATGTCAGAGTCCCGTCGGTAATTTAAGGTCAGGTTGAAGAGTTTTGAGAGACCGGGTATTTTTGGCGAGTTGGCTGGTGACTCCAAGTTCATCCAGACCCACTTCTGGAAGGGGGGCCTGTGTGCAGGAGGCAGGTTGGACAGATCCGCTCTGATGTCTCTGTGGTGGAGAAGAACTGCATCCGCAATGTTGTAGAGGTTCCTGTCCGCTGTTAATCGACATCCCTCGATGCGGAAAGTGGAGCTACAGGACTCTAAAGAAAAGTGGTTTCCAAATGGCCAGAGCCAGATGAGGACAACAGTGTCATTTTGGTCTCTGTCAGAAGAGACGAGGGTCTTCTCTAAGGGTAGTGAGGCAGTGTGATGAGAGAACCAGCTACGAGACGGTTTTATATACAGGAGTACAAAAAATACAACACAGCCCAGGAAGAGGGTGCTGATCAAAATGGTGCGTACACCTCCAAGAGCAGAGAGGGATGACATGGTCTGTCCTGTTGAAGAAAGAAGAAGGAGACTCAATGAGGACAGTGCGTGTGTCTGTGGAGATTCCTGGCCCTGTGGCCTATACTGAGCTAAACTATCCTGCTACATTGTGGTCAGTAACGGTGGTTCTGAAGCTGGCACTGCAAGTAAATTAATTCTAATGTGCTTGGAAAAACCCATCAAGATTTACAACAAAGTGAAATGATCTGAATCCTGAAGAATAAGATGTCCATTTTCTGACTGAAATATGTGTCTCAACATTTTAAACTTTAAGCTTTCTCCTATAATTATTCTCCTTTATTTTCAGATATTGAATGATATCTGAGCAATCTGTTGTGCCTCAGGGATATTGCGTAATTAAACCTGCTAGGTTGGGAGTCTACTGGGGAAACAGGTTTCACACAGGAGGAAATATGAGAATGTACTGGCTCACCTCCGCGCCGAGCAGACCTGCAGCAGGGGTGGGACGTGATGGTTTCTGCCTCCTTGTGGATCAGACGGCTCAGTGGCTCCCGAGAGAGAGATTCTGCAGAGCTGGTCCACACAGAAGCACACTGCCTCTGCCCAGGACTGTCCCGGCCCAGGCTGGCGCCGATGGCTACACAGGGCTCAGCCAGGAGCTGTGTGATGTCTGGGAGGAGGAGAGATCGGTGGAGGTTTTTAGAAAATTGTGAGAAACTCTGGTATCATTGCAGAGGTTCTCAATATTGGTCCAGAAGGACTCCTGTCTGCTGATTCTAGTTCCAGCTGGGCCGCGGGCCCTTAATCACTGGTGCTAATTGATGCATGTAATTGGGCCACTGGCTTTTTACTATCATCTTCATTCAGTCCTTGCTTTCAAAGACACCTGAGGTAAAGTACCTGATTTGCGGCCATGTCAGCACGTTATGAAGTCTGTCCTCTAATGTCTGGGAGGAAGGGGGATTGTAAGAATTCATGAGAGCCTTGGAAGGCTACTGTCATGATAAAAACATCATTAAGCTCGCAGCGGTTTGCTGTACAGGCAGGTATTGCCCACGAGGGGGCAGTGGGGTGGCCATGTTGGTCTGGACAGACGTCTGGACTCAGCGAGCGGCTGCCGATAATCACAGGTGCTGCCAGTTTGGACTATGGCAGCCGGTCTCCAGAGAGGTGTCTCAGCTCGTGTATACCCGGCTTCATCCCTCTGTCTTCTAACGGCTCATCCAGTTCAGGGCTGCAGGGGAGCTGGAGTCTATCCCATCCCAGGGCCAGGTCTCCCAGAAGCCAGTTACCCCACCAGCAAGTCTCTGGCCTGTGGGAGGAAACTGGGCCACCTGGAGGAAACCCACACGAACACGAGGAGAACATGCAAACTCCACACAGACAGAACCCCAGATGCAGACTCGAACCCAGGGCCCCAGCGCCACGAGGCAGCAATGTGAATTCATGTCCAAGAAAACTCACAATAATAGTAAACCTGCAGGACTGACAGAAAGGCAGCATCTTCAGGCTCAGGGTCCCTGTGTCATATCTCATCCCTTGTGTTTGCTACATGCACACCTTCCGCTAGACGTGAGCTGCAGGTGACTTCTCTTCTTTCACACACGCAGCTGACCTTGAAGAGCTCTGGTGGGAGCTGCGTCAGCATGCGCAGGCTGCAAAGGAACAAGTAGAGGGTTATCCCAAGCTGGAAAGAGAAGAAAACCCTTGACCTTTACTTGTTCGATCACCTTGAATGCCTACTCTCTGAAACCGAGAATTATTCGTAAGCGATGAACTTTCTCAAGGTCTTGTATGAAAATCTCAAAGTACACCACCTTCACAATATGACGAGATTGTAGGCTTTGTGAACTCCAGTACAGCTGCTGCTTGTTCAGCTCGTTAGACTGGTCTTGGAGTTGTGTCACACACACCTGCAGGAGTCTGCTGTCGGTGGGAAAGCAAGATTGTCGACCGTCGGAGGCCCTCAGGGGCCCTGGGGGCCGATGTGACAATACAAGAATGGATGCTGGTGGAACCTTCCTATGGGTCACGGAGAGAAACGCCCTGTTCCGCTGGTGTCAGACCCGAGGGACGGCCTGTACTCTAGATCACCATCACAGCCCAGGAAGACACTACCGGTCTCTGAAAACCTGCTTGACCAGAATTTCCTGATACACTGTGTGCACAGTGTCTTCATACATGTATACGTGATGCATATATGATGAGATTAAATACACTTTTTTAATTAACCTGCCCACACAATTCATAGGTATAAAAGATGAAAAAAAGCTACACAGACTTGCCAATGATATCAAAACAGACATATAACTTAGTACATTGACACAGCTGGTCTGACTATGCAGTGCACTACTCTTAAAAAAGCCCAGTAAAAACCGTAGAAGCCCAAGATAACAGAGTCTTCATGCTGGAGAGCTCTTCAGCACTCGGATGGCTGCAGGCAGAAAGTATCTCCTACACCTCTCTGTGGGGCGTCGGGGAGCTAAAACCCCAACACACGGCCCCGAACAGGAGCCCCAACACACGGCGCCGAACAGGAGCCCCAACACACGGCTCTGTACACAAATCCCAACACACGGCGCCGTACACAAACTCCAACACACGGCGCCGTACACAAACTCCAACACACGGCGCCGTACAGGAGCCCCAACACACGGCCCCGAACAGGAGCCCCAACACACGGCTCTGTACACAAACTCCAACACACAGCCCCGTACAGGAGTCCTGGATGCCAGAGCTCTCCGAGCAGACAACGCTCACCTTGTGCAGCAGCTCTCGGGGGTGACAACGCTCACCTTGTACACGTTACTCACCTGGATATGCTCCCTTTCTCCCCGCGACAGGTGATCCCAGAGCGAGTCTGCTGCTCGTGTGATCTCACTCCTGGCTCGACGCAGGAGTGCCTCCAGCCGCTGCAGGCTCGGCCGTTTCCTCAAAGTCTCGGCCCGGTTCCCTTTTTTGCCGGCTCCCTCGGTCCCGAGCTGTACACGGATTCTGCCAGAACAGGCTGCTGGTGTCGCCGGTCCCAGGCGCAAAGCCGAAGAGTGGCGCTAGATTTCGGATCCGGGAACGCTGAAGTGGGCGGTTTAGGACACGTGGAAGCTGCGCTCGCGCGAATCAGGTGATGTCACTTATAGTCGCGCTCGAGACTCGGCACCTGGCTCGCGGATGTGTCCTCGCGGTGGCCCTGGCGCGCGCAGTGGGGGTTCCGGCTGGGTCCCGCCGCAGTCCCAGCTCGCTGGTGGGAGGCGGAAAAGCCGTCGGGAGATGCTCAGAGCTGATGATTTACTTTCACTGTTCAGGTGAACATGTTTGCAGCGCAGCGTTTTCAATCGCCCGTTAATTACTGGAGAGCTGGCGCGTAATCGACTCCGGGGCAGGAATGCGATCGGCGGGTCTGGCGCGTGTGCGGTAATTCCCACTCATGAACATCCAGCTGTTTCCCGGAGGAGCCGTGTCTGCACAGCTTGTTCCACCCTCCCGCCACCCTCTGTGCAGAGAGCTGCTGTTCACAACGCAACCCCAGCGTTTCTCTGTCGAGCCCTGTAAACCGACACCCCCGGCCAACGCACAGCCAGGATCCGTCTCGCCTCTGCGACGTGTCCGGGCTGGAGACTCTGCTCAGACTCCAGCCTCCCACAGGCCCGACTGGCTCCAGTCCCCTGAGGGAGAGGAGCGTCTGTCTGACCCGTTCCACCGGCGTGTCTGTGCGGACGCGGGTTGTGAAAGTGGGCGTGTGACGTGACTGATAAAGGTGACTTTCAAGCCTGCCTGGCGGTGTCAGACACCAAACAAGACATCTTCTTATAAGCGTGATGAACATCTTTTATTGTTCATGCGATATACAAGCGGAGCAGCATAAACTCGAATATATATATATACAGTATATGTATCATCTCGTACATATACTGACAGACTTCTTTAATCAACGAAATGGACATTACTGTAAAATATTAAATTACTGCACGTAGTTATTTCAACAATATGAATGTAAGAGTATTTACTTCAAATCTGAATATTCTCAAAGAGAGAAATGGGAATATACCTGGTGGTCTGAGCTCATCTCTCGTCTTTCTGCTGAGCTCGTTACGGTTTGGGGAGCCTCTGTCCGAGGGGCGCACAGAGAAGCCCACCACAGCTGGCCCTCCTTCCCGGGACGTGGGGGCTGGTGCCGCGTGGCTGGGTGGCTGAAACACAACACTCAGGACAGACCGACATTTCAGGCTTCGTGTTTATCGTCACGCCGACCGGAGCCCAGTGAAATCCTTGCCTGCGCGATTCCCCACGTAACACACCACAGCATCAGCTGTTGGAGACGAGAACGCGGGACAGCGAGTGGAGAGTGGCAGCAGTGTGCGCCACCTCGCGGTGGGCAGCAGCCCACAGCCTATAGATCAGGAGCAGATTCCCGACAAGAACACCGGCCCGGGGCTTTAAACCTGTTAACCCCGGAGTGACCCCGCCCCGCTGGTACTGAAGACAGAAGCAGAGCACACTCGCTAAACGCACAGAGAATATCAGGGCGGAACATGAACCCCCTGCAACTGAGCTCCGGAGGTGCTGCCTTTGGAGCTGTCCAGTGTGCACTGGGAACATCGTGTACAAGCCGAGTGTAAAGAGAACAGCGAGCAGAGACGGGCAGGCTGGAGGAACTGGGTCCCACGATTTCTCAAAATGAACACACATACACCGATACAGCGGGCACAAGTAACAGCTGGAGGAAGATCAGGAAAAACTGAGAGCAGGAGGCTCTACTGTACAAAGAGAGGGGTGGGAGACACAACTGGGTGAACTCCTGCAGCCAGGACAGGAGGCTCTACTGTACACAGAGGGTGGTGGGAGGTGGGAACAAGTTGCCCAGCCATGTTGTTGAAGCTGATACCCTGG